TCCATCCATCCATCCATCCATCCATCCATCCATCCATCCATCCATCCGTCCATCCATCCTGGTGGTGGTGTCCATTCCCTGGCCCCTTGCTTGCAGCGATCTTTTTTTCTCTTTCTTTGTCTGTTCTTGGGAATCTGGGGATATTCTGAGTGTAGGTGAAAAGCCCAAAACCCAGAGACACCTGCTCGCCAGGGAGAACAGAAAGTTCCCACTGGAATTGCCCCAGGCACATTCTCTGGGAGATGATTCCCAGTGACGGGTGGACAGTCCCTCGGAGAAGAAAGCTGGGGGTAGAACGCTTTGGAGAGAAGAATCAGTTTTCCTGTCAAGGCACTGGTCAGGGACGGTGCCGATAATTAGGGTGGGGTGAGATGGCCTGCTGTCAGGTTGGGTTTGGCCATTTTGGAAAGAGGTGGAGTGACCAGGATGCCAGACTTTGGTTTGAAATCTCTCACCAGATCCTTGCGAGCTGTGTGATCCTGGCAAATCACCTAGCTTCTCAGCCTCAGTCTCTTAATCTGTAAAGTGGAGATAATAACACTGACCTTGAAGTTTTTTCCTTCTTCCCCTCCTGTCTCTCCTCCTCACCTCCTCCTCCTCTCCCTCTGACAGGGGAGGCCAGTACCTCGTGATCTTCTAGTTCTCTGTGCATGAACGAGGGCCCCAGGAAAGCAGGATTTCCAGCCCTGATGCAGGTCTAGGGTGGGCCCCATGCTGACTTCCCCTGTGGGCTCCTCAAGGGTAGTGCAGGTGCCCAGGCTTTAGCTGGGCCCATTGTACCCAAACCTGGATTGACATAAAATCGAAGTCATTGGTGAAGTCCTCTGATCACAAGGTTTAGAAGGGACATTAGCTCACATCTAAACCCACCCCTGTATTTTACAGAAGAGGAAACTGAGGCCCAGAGAGGGGAAGAGCCCTGGTCTGGGTCACACACGGCTAGGAAGTGGCACCTTTAAATTTCCAGCCCTGTCTCTCTGGCTCCCCACCCCCCTCCCCCACTGCACCTTACCCAGGGTGTTGGGTGAGGGGTGGGATACAATGACAAGTTACTCCATGTTCACAGAGGGGTCCCTTTCACTCTGTGTGTGTGTGTGTGTGTGTGTGTGTGTGTGTGAAAGAAAGAGAGCACTCACAAGTGCACTGCACATCCACGAGAGTAGTGAGTTATTTACATTCAGCAGATGTTTACTAAGCCCCTACTGGGTGCAAAGCGCTGGCCCAAGCAGCTCCACACTAAAGGGGGATTACCATATAGAAGCAGGAAAGGGGGTGAACAACATCAATGAACAAGCGCTTAGGAGGTGCTTGCTGTATACGGAGCTCTGCGCTAACACAAAGCCCCCAAACGCTTCCTGTACTCGAGGAGCTTATATTCAGTTGGGGGAGACAAGAGCTCTAGAGTGGACCCTGGCAGATAAGTGGAGGAGATGGAGGATCAGCTGACGAAGGATGACCCTAGCAGCTGGGGGCTTCACGGAGTCGGAGCGCTCAGGCTGGGTCTCAGAGGAAGCCAGGGATTGTACGAGGCATAGTCAGTCTAATGTAGGGAGAGCATTCCAGGTCTAGGGAAGGGCCCAGACAAAGGGCCAGGACCAGTGAGCAGCCAGCCTGTCTTGATCGTTGGGTATGGGGAAGGGAGGTAGGAAGGGACCAGGCTGTGAAGGGCTTTAAGTGCAAAACAGAACATTTTGTATTGATTTTGGAGGTAATAGGGAGCCACTGGGGGTCTTGAGGTTGCCGTGACTTTAGTTTTATGCCATTGGCCGTTGTATTTGAGAGGGGATGAATGGAAGAAGGGAGGCTCATTGGAAGGCCATCGACATAGTCCAGGTAATAGGAGAGGAAGTGGCCTTGTGAGTGGACAGAATGGGATGAATGTGACAGATACTGGGGAGAAGGAAATTGCAAGATTTGTCAGCAGAGTGGATAGGTGGGGATGAGAGAGACGAGTTGGGAACGACCCTGTGGTTGTGAAGCTGGCTGATGGAGGACGGCTGTGCCCTTGAAAGTTATGGGGAAGTTTGGGAGAGGGAAGAGTTGGGGGGAAGAGGTAATGAGCTTAGTTTTTGATGTGTTGATTTTGTGATGAGATGTCCTGAGGGCGGTGGGTGATGAGGAACTCAGGAGACAAACACGGTCTATGGTCTTTGGTCTGTGAGCTAGGGATCATTGATCCCCTGCGATCTTATGAGCTCAGCCAAGTGAGATGTCCAGAGGGAAAGAAGGAGAGGGTCCAGGCCAGAGTCTGGGGGCACCCAGGGCTAGCGGGAGTGACCTGGAGGAAGGTCCAGCAAGAGACTAGTGGCTATTGTTGCTATGTGACGTTCCATTGAGACTTGCAAAGCTTTTGACAGAAACCTATCACAAAGAACCCTGTGAGCAGATGCTCTTGTCGCCATTGGAACGATGAGGAAACTGATGCTCAGAAAGGTGGAGAGACCGCCCAGAGTCACATCCAGTTAAGAGTCAAAGGCAAATTTGAACCCACACCCTCCTGACTCCAAGTTCAGCGCAATGATACCATTCTGAGAAGTCAATGGACCAGATGCCCTTTCTGTAGGGGGCTTACAGTCCTTTTTTGGGGGGTCTATTGAGAAGGACACAAAGAAGTGTAATAAAGAACAGTCCTTGCTCTCAGGAGGCTTTCAGTCTGGGGGCTATGGAATGTGGACACTGAAATCACAACCCCATCTAAGTTGGCCGCGAGGTAGAATGTGCTGGTGAGATAAGCAGAAATTCCAACGAGAGGTGAGGGAAAGCCCATTCCCAGCCTGGGGTGGCCGATGGGGATGGAGGGAAAAGGGGCTGGTTCTATGATCCCTGAATCAGTCAGAGGCTGGGATTGTGTTGGGGGCTCATGGGAGATGACTCGATGATACCAAAGGAAGACGGAGGCTGGAATTGTAGGGGCTGCTCAATTTCCTAGGTGGGGAACACCCATCCAGGGGTGGCACTCTGTCTGATCAGGGTTTTCAGGGGTCTCATCTGGAGTCCCCTAGCCTCAGGCTCCTGACATGAGCTTCCTAATTTTGAAAGATGGGCAGGTGCAAGAGGCTGATGAGGACTTGAGCATGGAAGGATGTTCTGAGCTCTGTTGGGCCACGGACTTGGCGGGGCAAGCCCTCGTTTGCCCTGCAAGCCGTCGTTTGCGTATCTCCCCCGAGTCGGAGTCAGAGCTAGAAGAGAGAGACCTGGGAACACGGGCCTCCCCTCCTGCGTCTTCTTGCAGTTCCAAAGATTTTATTGATCACGTTTGTTCACGTTAGTAACCCTCCAGCATCTAGAACCCTCTGGAACAAGGACAGTGCATTAAAGCCAGTGGATGCCCCATTCCCAGCCCCTCGCCCACCACTCCCCTATGGGCTAGAGGGAAGTATACCGGACCACGGGGCTTCTGGGCTCGGTGGCTCCATTAAACCAACGCCGACGTCCTGCTGGGGTGTTGGGCTTTCATTGCTGCGGAAGCTGTGTTTGTTTGGCTGACTTCTCTGCCTTTGTTCTTCTCTGTCTCTTCCTCATTTCTCATGTCCAGTCAGTGATTCTGATCATGTTTCTCTTCCATGCTGAGGGCGGCCCTTTCCCAGTGGATTTTGCAGAAGTGCTGGGAGGGATAGTTTCGGGTGAATGGGCCTTCCCCCACCCCTGCCTTTGGCTTCCTTGGGGTTCACGGTCTATAGTGGAGTCCCGGGGTCAAAGGCCAAGCTGGTCACTTTGCAGTTTAGGAAGCTTCTCCTAATTCTGCCCGATGAGGGCGAGGGACCTACCCAAGGTGGCACCATCAGTAAGTAAATGGCAGGGCCGGGATTCTAAGCCAGGTGCTGTGACTTTTGCCCCAGGGCTCCTCCCAGGGCATCCTGGACTGCCAGAAGCCCCGAAGTCATCTCCAGCCTCCTTGGAGAGAGCCTTACAGACAGAAGGGCCAGGCTGTCCCCTCAGCCCTCTTCCCCCATCCCAGAACACAGTTGAGGCCTTGCTGCTCCCCTTCAGGCCCCTGTCCTGTTTTAGCTCAAGGAGAAAGTGATTTCTGGAGGCTGAACGTGCCCACAGAGCATTAGAGCCAGATCCTTCCATTTTAGAAAGGGGAAAAACGGAGACCCAGAGAGGAGAGGGACAGACTATTGCCACTCTGCCTGTGACGCTGGCGGGCCTGGTCCACATTGCCCCTCTCCTCTGTCTAGGGCCAGCCCCTGACTCTTTCCTCTGTAGTCATGGAATATTAAAGAACCTGAGGGAGCTATCAATCCAGTGCCCTCACTTTACAGGTTGGGAAACT